TGGTATATCTGTCATAACATTTTACTCAGTGCTCGGAATTTAGCAAACTTGATGGCGTTGGAAAGAGGACTCAAAGGGCTTTAATTTTCCATTTTGTAGCTCACTTAACTCATCCTGTACTAGGAGTTATGGTCGTTTGAAGTTGACCCAAAACTTAAGAAAAACTTAGGAATGACTTGAATGAACTCTCTTTAGTTCTTCTTGGAACTCAAGGTGCTATATCTAGTGACCTTAATACTCAAGAAATTTTAAATTCCTTACAAAAATCTCACTCACTACGAAGAACGGGTCGAGTCTTAGCTCAAAAATTTTCTGGGGAGTTACAGTTCCATTGCATGGTGAAAAAATAATTAGATTCTACTAATTTTCTTTTTATTTGTATTTAGCTAAAATAGTGTGTTAGATATTATTGAATTTGTTAATTAAATTTGCAATTATTGTTACCGTTAAATGAGTTTTTATGAACCTGCCTCCTTTGTTCTAGTACTAATATGTGACTCTATTTTTGAAGATAAGTGAAAATTAATTATGAAATAGTTATGGCACCATTGGTTGCGGAGATTGACTAATTTTTAATTTGTAGTTCATTTTATTTAATAGTAAAATATGTATTTAAAATATCTTAATTTTTTTTAGTCTTTTAGGTAAGTGATAAATTTACTGAACACATGATCATTTACTTTGTTTGATTGACTTTAAATATATAACTAATGTAACTACGAATTAAAGTAACGTAAAAAAAATTATTTCAATAAAGTGCATTGTAGTACAACTAGAATTTTCACAGACAAAACTAACTATGATGTTTCTCCTAGCTTGGCTACTAAATCAGTAATCTTTTAATATGCAATCTCCATAGGAATATTCATTGCCAAGACTACTTGTAAGCTTCCATTTTCTTCGAAATTTCGATTAAATTTAACCACTTTTGATACTGCAAAAGAAAAAGGCTGCATAAAGTTAATAATCAATTTACTAGAACATTTCATGAATTCATGCGTGGTAAAATTTAAATTAACCTCTGCCGTCAATTAGTCACAGTCTGCAAGAAACATTTTGTGAAGTTCATGACGTTCTTCGATAGTAGCAGAGCTAGTTCTTCTCTCCATCAATTCACTCTGCAAATCATATTCTAAGAAGATCCTCTTCCTTTTAAAATTCACTGCTTTTCCTGCTTTCTTAATCTCGCTGAAAATTGAAAATAGCATAACATGTCAAGGTGGTTATAAAATAAGACAGAAAAGAAGAAATAAAAAGGACATTGAATAGAAACTCACCTGAGAAGCTCTAGTTTTGGAGAATTCATTGGTAAATGATATTTTGCGAAATTTATGAATAAAGAGAGTAATTGATGTACAAATAAACTGAGTGTGCATCCTACTTATAGATAGTTGTCTGTTTGTGCAAGCTTACCCAACTGTAAGTTTATTCAATTGTAAGATTATCCAACAACATTCTTATCCAATTGCAAGCATATCTAAGAAATTATGGAATGAATATCCTGAATATGGTATGTTTATAATAATTTCATAATATTTTATAAAAGAAATAATATTTGAATGTCACAATGTATTGGAAAGTTAATAAATTTTATGAGATTATCATAGGGTAGAAAATGGTAAGAAATTGATTTTTATTGCTCAGTTTAATGAGATGAATATAATTTGAATTCATTCTAAATTGGCTCTTTATCTTACATAACAAATAATTAAATTATATTAATTCTTATTTAGAGGTTTATTATTTAATAGTTAATTTTCTAAATAAGTGTAACCACGTAGATACTATGATAGTCTTTTTTAGTTATTTGAAAATCAAAGTATTAGATTAAAAAGATGACTTTGTCAAATAATAAACAAAAATAATTTTTGATGTGAGAATAACATACCTTAACCTCATCCATAGTCAACATTCATAGACAAAGAGACATTCATGTTCATGGTTCATAATAAGGAAAGTCACTTTTAACATCAATTCATATCATGCATACTTAGATTCATACATCTTCATGTCATAACGAAACCACATCATAACTACTTTATAAGTCTACTTGTGCAATGTATAAGTGAAGTCTCATACCCCCATTCACACTAAGTAAAGCTCATTAAGAAGTGATAGATATAGCTCATATTCATGTTCATATTCTTGGTTCATGGCTCATATTCATATAAAACATACATTTACTCATAAAGCATCATGCCATCAAGCACATGCCACAATCACTCTGAAAGCTTACTTGTGCAATGCATAAGTGAAGTCCCATACCCCCACTCACACTAAGCAAAACCCCTTAAGTAATCATTGCACATAACTCATGTTCTTGTTCATAGTTCATATTCTTACTCTTGTAATGTTCTTGTCATGTAGGGAAATATAGCCTTAACCAACATAGACCATGTGAGCTACATGGAATCTGGTGTCATGAACCCATACCGAAAAGAGGTGTTCTACTTGCCTAAGGTAGAACTAACATGTTTAGCTTATAGGTGGATCCACTAGCTAAGAACCTATGTGGGTACATAGTTATGGGATAGGGAGATTGCTACTAGAAACCCGGACTAACTGAGGTATAAGATTTCCATCTCATCTTCCTATCTTTTTTATGCTAAGCTTAATTCCCTTTAATAATCATGTTCAGTCTTTACCTAAGTTCATGTTTATGGAAAGGTGACTTAACACTCAATCCAATACAACATCATGGTATTTCATGGATTCATTAGGTGAGAATGGCCTTTCAACCTTAGAATCATTAATATGTGAGTAAACCTTTCACATCATGTTCATAGTGTTTCATGAGAATGACCTTTCAATCAACACAATAATTATATCATAAGCATAGTCCTTTCATGCATAGTCATGTGTAAGGGTATATGGGAGAAGGATCATGCAACAACACCACCATTTCACAATAGTCATGGGATCATTACCTTCTAGGTGAATCATAAGTTCATATGCAATCCTCATCAACATGTATAAACCCTAGAAAGTTGCCCTTCAAGGCAATCAAGATTAACCCTAACTTCTAGAATTACCACATTAGATAGAGGGATAACATGATTCAACAACATAATACATGTAAACATAATCAATTGTCAAGCTTCCATGATCAATCAAGTCATACCTTAATTCACAATTTAGGAAGAAGGGGAAATCATGGGTCCATAGGAGATTTTCATCAAAATCCATCAATACTCCATTAATCCAATCATAATCAATCATAATTAACCATAATTAAACAATTGAAATCTTTTTCGAAGAAGACCCATGACTAGATTGAAACCCTAGGTTTTTGAAGTCTTAAAAACATAGTTTGAAGGGGATCCTTGGGTGATAGCTACCCAAGAAGGAAAAGCATTCATACCTTAGCTTGATTTCCACAAGAAATTGGAGAAAAAAGGCTAGTTCTTGAACCCCTAACTTGACCTTGACCTTGCTCTTCAATGGAGTCTTAGAGAGAGAATTTTTTGGAGAGGAGAGGTAGTTACTAGTTTAACTCTTGAGAGTTATGAGGTGTTAAAGAGGTGGATACTAGTCAATATATACTTATATATGTCTAAATAACTAATATAAAACGTCCCCACCCTTAAATAATTAAAATAGGAATTAATTAAAATGGTAGACCCTTGGCCGAATTGAGGCAACTTTTGTAGATCCCATCCACGACCCCCCACCTACGGGGAGTGGATTGACCCATAGACCGTACTAGTCACTCGTGGGTTGGGTTTGTGGCTTGCCTTTTCACTTTTAATTAAAATGTCCGTTTTAAGCATATTTTTGCATGGCTATCATACTTAGTACTTAATTGTGCTAACCCATACTTCTATGTTTACTACAAGTGTAGGTTTCGTCAATTGAGTGGTGTTCTCTAGTGAAGCTTGGATTTGAGTTATCCAAGACTAAGTGGTATGTCCTCATAGATCGAGGACAAGTAGTTGATGTTTCCTTTCTGTTCATGTAATAGACATTTGTTAGTCTTTCGATTGTAAAGGGTCGTGACCCTATTTTTGTTTAAAGACATTGTTTAGATGGCCATTTGAGATGATAGACTTCCGCTTGCTTTTAATGCTTTGATTGTTGGATTTATAAAATAAAAGTTTTAATTCCGCACTATTTCTAAGTATCTTATGTAATAAAAATGCTATAAGGCTTGTATGTGACCCCTTCGGGTCAAGTACGTTGTGTCACTTCTGGGGTGTTGGTTCGGGTCGTGACAAACATGGTATCAGAGCACAAAGTTTTGGGAATGGTTTTAGGATTGATGTCTCACAAGCCACTAGTAGAGTTTTGTTCATCGGTGTGAGTCATGACACATCTATGAGAGAGAGGCTATAGGACGTTAGAGAGTTACACTCTTTCATTATTCTTGTAGTCGTGCCTTAGAGTTTAGCTCTATATGTGTCCTTTTCCTAATCTTTCTCTTGTGTTTATAGGATATGAATACAAGAAGGAGTCCCGCATGGAGAGTGGAAGAGGAGAATGTGAATGAGGGAGTTCCTCCCCGAGATCCCCAAGGTCCTCAAGGTGACCAAGTTCCTCAAGGCAATCAAGTTCCGGTAGATGCTCCAGATATGACTAACGAAGAGATTAGGTCAGCTTTTCTAACCTTAGCCCAAGTCATGACCGCCCAAGTTAATATAGATGTGGGGCTTAGAGTGAATGCTATTGAGAGTACTATTGCTTCTAGGTTGAGGGACTTTGTGAAGTTGAACCTTCCGATTTTTCTTGGTTCCAAGGTGGGAGAGGATCCCCAAGAGTTTTTGTATGAGTTATATAAGATAGTCAATGCTATGGGGGTGACTTCTAGAGAAAAAGAGGAACTAGTTTCCTACCAATTGAAAGACGTTGCCCAAATTTGGTTTACTCAATGGAAAAATAATAGGCCTATATGAGCGGGTCCCATAGAATGTGAGGAGTTTAAGAAAGCGTTCCTGGAGAAGTACTTTCCCCGTGAGAGGAGGGAGGTCAAGGTGGAGGAGTTTATAAACCTTAGGCAAAGCAGCATGAGTGTGGATGAGTATTCCTTGAAGTTTACCCTATTGTTTAAGTATGCTCCATCTTTGGTGTCCAACCTTAAAGATGAGATGAGTAGGTTGGTGACCGGTGTATCCGACCTAGTTAAGGAAGAGTGTCGTATGGCGATGCTCCATGATGACATGAACATTTCTATACTTGTTGTGTATGCTCAATTTATTGAGGAGTCCAAACTTGAGAGAAATAATATGAAGATGAAGAGGCCTAGGTCCGATGAACAAAGTCAACCAAGGTCCAAAAAGAGGTTTTATAACAAAGATTTTCCTATGGTCAACAATGATAGGGTGTCTAACCCTAAATCTCAATGAGGGAATGGAAGTGGTTCTTCTTTTGAAAGATCTATATGTGCCAAGTGTGGGAAGCAAAATTTGGGTAAGTGCCTTGCCGACACAGATGGGTGCTTTGGGTGTGGAAAGAAGGGTCATAAGATGAGAGATTTCCCAACACATTTGGCAAAAGGGAGAGATACCAAACAAGCTTCTCTTAATGGCCCGGATCTTGATGCTCCAAAGTGGAACCGTTTCTATACTCTTCAAGCTAACAAGGACAACGGAGCTAATCCGGATGAAGGTACCGGTAAGTGATAGTTCCTTTTTGGTTATGAATGTCTTGATGAGGTTCTTATGTTGTTTTTCATGTTAGCCTTAGTTTGGTTTTCTCCTAAGTGGGGGATAGTATGTTGAATAGTAAGGTTGTGGTGAGTTTTGATATTCTTATCTCTTTCCTTCTATTCCTATTCAAGCTTTAGACCAAGAGTTCCTTATAACTTGTTTCATGTTTCGGAGTCATGTGTGATTATGTGTTTCCATGGTCTCCTTATATTATGCATGTTCTTAATGAGTTTAAGTTTGAATGAGAAAATGAGTTTATATGAATTATGTTCCTCATGTTGAACTGCATTTAGTATGAGTTGTCTATATGCTTCATAAGGTTGAATTGTTGAACATGCCTAATGTGCTTTTATTGAGAAATTGCATAATGTGCTTAATGATGTTGTGATGAGCATGATTTGAGTTGGAGAAGGTAATTCCTCCAATGTAATGAGAAATGTTGAAGTTATGATACATAATAAGTTTGTAGATGTAGTTCCTACCTTCTTGTTTTTCTTTGAGCTCTTTGATGTGGAGTTGATGTTTCCTCCTAGTTTCGTGCATGGTTTATAATGTTGCATGCATGATGAGCTGCTAGTCTTGAGTCGTTAACCCTTAGTTTGTTTTAAGTGTCATTTAAGGATGAATGTTTCTAAGTGGGGGATAATGTAACGACCTGTAAAACGAATAAGTGAAACTAGAGCCTAACTAGTGTGTGTTGGAGTTGTTGAGGGGTTTCATGTGGTATAACGTTGTCCCGAGCTATGGTTGAGGGGTTTAGGGGTTAAACGTCAAGGTACGACTCCCCAAGGACCACCCTAGGGGTCCTTGAGGAGGACCCTAAAGCCTAACCCCCAAGACCCCTTGAAACTAAAGAGTTGCCAATTTAAGGGTGACCTACGGAAGGGGTCCACGCCCCGTAGGTCCATCCATGCCCCGTGGATGGCCTGTGTAAGTCATGGCCCCCAAAACCTAGCCACAAACTCAAACCACGAGGGCACAGGATGGCCAGTGGTCCCATCCACGGTCCGTGGATGGGGGTTTCGTGGTTGGCACCTGTTTTCTGTCCAAGTCGGCCAAGGTGAGGGCTAATTGGTAAATTGCTCTTAAGTCTAGTTTAGTTGGGGGACGGTTTTAATTAGTTATTTATGGTATTTTAAGGGGTTTCAAAGTATCAAACATATTTTAGACTTCATTATTTCAAAACCCAAAATACAAACCTCCCCTCCCCTCCAAAAGTTCTTTCTCTAGAAACCTCCATTGGAGGTGAAGACTTCAAGCTTCCAAGGTCAAGACTTCAAGTTTTTCAAGGGATTTTCGTGGATTTCTTCCATTAAAGGTATGGTGGTCTTCATCCTTGACTTAGTTTCTTTCAAGGAGCCAATTTCAAAAGTGATTTCAAGGCTTCAAAGTTTACCCAAAAACTCTAGTTTTCAATATATGCATGGGTTCGATCCTAAAAGATTTTCAAAGGCATTCTTGCATTGAATTATGAATGAATTGCGGATTTTAAGATGAATTAAGATGATTTCTTCCTAGAACCCATGTTTTTCCCCAAATTCCTAAATTGTGATTTGTGCTTGGGAATTGATTGATTATGTTGAATTGTTGATGTTTATATTGAATTAAGTGATTGAATCATGCCAATTTCATCATCTATTGTAGTATCTTGGATTTTATGGATTGAAGTTGGTTTATAGCCTTGAAGGCAAGTTCATGAAGGATTTATATATGCTTATGATGTGAAGTATATGTGTGTGCCCTAAATGAATGTATTATGATCATGTTTAGAAGGTACTTGTGTTATGATTGATTGTTATTTATCAATTAACACCTATGAATGGTGAGGCTATATGTGAAAGGTTATTCTCACATACACACACTCATGAATGGCTAATCAATGAAGTTCTATGATAATGTTAATGATGATGAGTCTATTAAAAGGCTATTCTCAATTGTACTCTAATGAATGATAATGCCATGTTTTGAAATGAATTTCTCACAATATGGGGATTCTTAGGTGAAAGGCTATTCTTATCTTTGAATATATGATCTTTCCAATGAATGAATGAATGTTGAGTTTGAGATGGATGCTCATCTGGGAGTTGAGGCGATGTCTCTAGTAAAAATCTCTTATCCCATAATAAACTAATGTAATGTATTCCGTGGGGAATAATGCTAAGCACCGAGTGGATATGGCTTGAGATGGGTGCTCATCCGTGAGTTAAGGTGGGGTATCTAGTAGCAATCTCTTGAGATGGATGCTCATCCGTGAATTGAGGCGGGGTATCTAGAAGCAATCTCCCTATCCCTTAAACTATGTGCCTACATAGGTCTAGCTAGTTGATCCACTTAAGCTAAAAACAATGGTTCTACCTTAGGCAAGTAGGAATCCCCTATCCGGTGAGGGTGACACCGAGATTCCATGAATTGCTCACATGGTCTATGTCGGTTAAGGCATACCCCCACAAAGAATGTTAATGAACTATGGCTTCTTGAAGATGCACTACTTAGTATGGGTGGTGGTATGTGATGTCATCTATGCATTGCAAAAGTAGGCTTTGAGAGGGGCTATGGTGTGTTCCTTTATAATGTTAAATGAAATGAATGTGCTCTTATGATGGTGATGATGAGAATGTTGGTTTAATTTCTAATGAATAAATGTGCTCTTAATGTAATGAAGCTAATGAATAATGTGATTTATGCTTAAATTAGATTATGCATGCTATACTTGGATTGTATTATGAATTGCTTCCTTGTTATGACTTATTGAGTATGAATGTGCCTTGTCTATGGTGACTTCAAGAAGTACTTAGTGTGATTAGTAGTATTGGATTCTACTTGCACATTGCACAAGTATGACTTAGAGTTGCCCTAGGTGATGTTTCTTATGTGTTGATATGACTTATGTAATGTTTATGTCTCTTATGTATGAGTATTGTATGAAGATGGAAAGGTTGAATGGTAAGTTCACTTTTGGTAACCTTAAGGTGGTACTTGGTGTGGATAGTGGTATGGGACGCTATTCATACATTGCACAAAGTATAGTTTGAGGGTTGCTTGTGGTGAAGGCTTAATGTGAAGGTAATGGGTTATATGTTGATCATGTTTCTTATGTGGTTAAATAACTTGGATGTTGGTTATGTCTTATATTATGCCTCTTATGCTTATGTTCATGAAGGTTTTATCAAAATGGCATATATCATGACTTTCAAATAAAATGTCCGTTTTAAGCATGTTTTTGCATGGCTATCATACTTAGTACTTAATTGTGCTAAGCCATTCTTCTATGTTTACTACAAGTGTAGTTTCCGACAATTGAGTGGTTTTCTCTAGTGAAGCTTGGATTTGACTTCTCCAAGACTAAGTGGTATGTCCTCATAGATCGAGGACAAGTAGTTGATGTTTCCTTTCTTTTCTTGTAATAGACATTTGTTAGTCTTTCGATTGTAAAGGGTCGTGACCCTATTTTTGTTTAAAGACATTGTTTAGATGGTCATGTGAGATGATAGACTTCCACTTGCTTTTAATGTTTTGATTGTTGGATTTATAAAAGAAAAGTTTTAATTCTGCACTATTTCTAAGTATCTTATGCAATGAAAATGTTATGAGGCTTGTATGAGACCCCTTCGGAGTCAAGTATGCCGTGTCGCTTTTCGGGTGTAGGCTAGGGTCGTGACATAGTCTTCGTGATTTTCTTACTTGTATCAAGCATTCTATTTTTTTTTCCATAAAATTAACAGAGAAAATCAAAATTACCAAAATGAGAGCATTAAAATTCTTCAATTAGCAAACTAATAATCTTTGTGTATCTAAACTAGGTAGACAAAGATTATAAGTTAAATCTTTTTACATCTAAAAGTGAAACAAGATAAAAAGGAAATAATTATTGAACATAGTCAATTTTTAATGAGTGAACATATAATAATTATCATTCCTTTTGGATTTAAATGAACCCTCGTCCATGAATAACTACTGATTATCAGGGTTTGAGCCCAAAATAAATCTAGAAAGGGAAAAAAATTCAAAGGATAGTAATTGGAGGGGGGGGGGGGTGGGTTAAAAAAAACAATGGAAAGATGGGCATAATGAATTTTTTTTTAATTGTTTAGTTCTATGTACTTATTTTAAAAAATCATGACGTTGTTCTTAATATGACTGATTCAGTCAGATTTTAGTTGTGAAGTGTACGAGATTTTGATTAGACTTTTTAAGTCTTTTCATTTTTTTTCTTACAATTCCATAATCTAATAGCTAGGAGTCGTTAAATATTTGACCGAGAATTAAGTTTCTATCTTTTCTAAGACATATTGGCCTAAAACTACTCATGAATATAATTAAGGAATCACTTTAAATCATCCTAATATTTAAGTCTCCCCGTAGATAAATTTTCAACTATCTTTTTTAGGACGTTGTTTTTTTTTTTGAATTATTTGAAAGGAGATCTAATGATTTGTTGTATCAAATTGGTGGAAACATCAATTAGGTTAAAGACATATATTTCAAATATGAGCTTGTGGTTTACTTTTCTTTTGTATGTTGTATCAATAAAAAGAGGTACATTCAAAAAAAATTCGTAATGTCAATCCTACTAATGAAAATATTTTGTTCAAATAAATCTGCAGTGTGAAAATAATTAGATTCTGCTAATTTTCTTTTCATTTATATTTACCTAAAATTGTGTGTTAGATATTATTGAATTTGTTAGTTAAATTTGCAATTACTGTTACCGTTAAACGAATTTTAATGAACCTGCCTCCTTTGTTCTAGTACTAATATGTGACTTGATTTTTGAAGGTGCATGAAAATTAATTATGAAATAGTTATGGCACCATTGGTTGCGGAGATTGACTAATTTTTAATTCGTAGTTCATTTGACTTAACAGTAAAATAGGTAATTAAAATGTCTTAATCTTTTTTAGTCTTTTAGGTAAGTGATAAATTTACTGAACACGAGATCATTTTATTTGTTTGATTGACTTTAAATATATAAC